TTCATTTCTAATTTAAGTTGTGTAGTTAATAAGAATTATAAAATACTTGCTCATAATTTAAATTTTTATTTTTATTCTCTATGAGGGAGGGAGGGAGAGAGGGAGAGAGAGAGGAAGAGAGAGAGAGAAGGAATAATAAAATATTTATATCTAACTTCCTCTCATTTGAATAATAAAAAAAGCTTGCTTGATGCATTAAGCAAATCAAAATCATTATTAAAAAGTAAAAGACTTTAAAACTTATAGGGTTTTTAATAAATAATAAATATAGCCTCTTCTATTTTTCCTCTTTTATCTCTTCTATTTTTTTAGAAATTGTCTGCATGTTAAAAAGTATGAAGAAAAAATCACCAAAAACCTTCGAACGAGAGGAACCAATACGACATTTTATTTTAATTTCCACGATAATGACGTGGGCTTTGACAAAGCCATTAGATCCAGCAGATCCAGATTTACCGTGTACAGAAGCAGATTATCAAAAACGAAAACCTCATCCAAATTATCAGGATCATATTCAATGCGAGAAAGAGGTTGTGTCCGTGAAGAAAATCACTAATTTAGAGAATAGATTAAAAACTTTAGTTGTTTGTTGCGGCATCACATACGGTGAGGAGGAAGATACGCTTCATTATCTTTTCAAAATGGCTTGGCTGAATGCGACTTTCTTACCAATATTTGGCAAAGGACAAAACAAGATACCCCTTTTACACGTTCGTGATTTGGCCGCGTAAGTAGTAATACAAAAGAAATATAAGAACATTTTGCTCGAAAAATTACAATATTGGTATTTATTTTCATATCCAAAGAACAAAATAACATCTTGAAGTATATTATATAAGAAATTTTATGCTTATTTGTAAAATGTAAAACAATGCATTTGCAAGTAAACAATAATTTGCAAAGAAACTTTTTTCTTATTTATATAATCTTTTATATTAAATATAGTATTACTGGTCATATTAACATTAAAACTTAACATAAAATATTAACATAAAAATTTTATTACAACATAATGCTTTTTTTTATTATTTATATTAGCAAATATAATTTTATAGGTTAATACTTTTCTGTACATACATATTATTTTTTAAAGAGAATTAAGATGTGATATTATTACAAATATAATAGTAATAGTGAAAATAATTATAAATTGGTATTATAATAAATATATCATATTTTAAAATATTTCATAATCTTTAAAAAATTTAACGTTTTATAAATTTTGATGTGTGATGTTATTGTTTGGTGAAGCACGTTGGAGTTCTAATTGTCTGGTTAACCAAATCCGCTTACCGTTACAAATAATTTAATTTTCAGAACTATATCCTCAGTGCTACAAAATTGGCCTCCGATGTGGTATATTGTGGCGGTAGAGCGAGAATTAATCTCTCAAAATACGATCGTCAAAGTACGAATCCTTACATTTACTGATTATTGTTAAATATTTATTTTTTATATTTTTTGCTCATGCCTTTTTATTTTACGAAATAAAAAATGACAGAACATGATAAACTCTTCATAAAATGCAAACATATTAATTTTAATAGCGTTACTACATTGTTATTTTAATGCGGTATTATTATTAGTGAAATAACTTTTCAAAAAA